TGTAAATTGCATAAATAATTGTGAACAAAACAGCATCATGTATTTATGCATTGCTTAATCCAAAGAGCCGAAGTGCCCATCACGCAGACTGCATTTAAAAACATATGAGAAGCAGTGAAAAGGAATAAACTTCCACAAATTCGTGATGTGTTTTCTAAAAGTTTAAACTGTTTTAACTTTGCATGGCTTTCTATACATCTCTTGTGTGAGACGCGAGTGCAGCTGTCATATTTGTCCATCTAAAAATGCGCTTTTGGTTTCGGTTTTAACCCATTCAAGATCTTCTCCGCATTGAGCTTCTATATTTCTCTAATATTTTGAATGAATAACGCAGCAGCGGTGCGTCTCGTGGGCTAGACTAACAAAACATTAAAATGCAACAACTTCACTTACATCATTATCACCGCATCTCGTGCTCCACTGATGACGCTCCCTGACGCACACCTAACATTCAAATGTTTATTTTAAATTCGACTAATATTCATTCTTTATTCACAATCTCCTCATCACAAACAGGCACAGCACTCATTACAGCATGTGTTCGTGTTTGTGTGTGCTGTCTGCGTCACTCATAGTATGTGCCTATATTATGCGCTATATCGAACATTTTTTCTATCGATATCGAAGAAGGTGTACCGTCGATAAATATCGATACCGTTTTATCGCCCAGGCCTAATGTAAATGCCAATAACTGATACATGGCTGATATTTAAAAAATATATAAATGTTAAATAATTAACATAATTAAAAATATAAAAAAATACAAATGTAAATTCAAATCAAATTGAATATTAATTTTGAGGTTTTGCTAAAGATTGTAGTTTATTAAAATGTATATAAGAGTTGAATTTATTGATTAAATTAATTAGTGTTTATTATAGATTTTAAGCCACCAGTATATGGCAGCAAAAGTAATCCAAATGTAAAAATAGGAGGAAATGAACATGCATAATTAAATATCCAATATTAGCCAATGTATATCCAATATTAAAAATTTATTTAAAAAATGTAAAATAAAAATCATTATATAACCAATGTTGTACAGATTTATTGTGCATCTCTAATATATTTTATAGTTCTGATATCTCTGATATATGATATATTTTTGTCAGAATTTTTACTTTTCCAGCATTTAAAAAAGTAAAAAAGTTTGGCTCTTTCCTAGCCAAAATCTATGCTCTTGAAGGAGTCTTTCTTCTGCTCAGAAGCTCTCATGTGTTCTAGATTGTGGTTTCATGGCAGTGTTTAGACCTCTGTAAAGTAATGTGTATTTGTTGTGGGCCTTTTATGTTTCGGCTCCCTCAGCACCGTTGGTTACACGAGAGCGCGCAGTGTCTCTGAGAGCGAGTCCTACTTCAGTCTCTCATCCTCCTTCCACACCCCCACTTTCCTGAAAACCTTTTACCAGGGCTCCCTCGGCTCACTGGCCTCCCTGTCGGACAGCGGGAGTCTTAAGAGGTGAGAGGGGGCTTCGGTTACAGACCGTTCAGTGTCCGTTTCCCCCGGGGGTGCCTGAGGTTCAAGCTGATGGCGGCCGCCTTCTCTGCGCCTGTCTGTTTCTTAACCCAAAGGCTTCAGTCACTTTCTCATCAGTCAAGAAGAACCACTTCTGTAACTTACTCTCTCTTCCTGTCAAAATTGTTGGACTTTGTCATTGTCCACTGGACACGAGGGATGCATTGTTTGCATGTTGGTGTCTTTACTAACTAATGATAAACAAAAGCATTTATCATCTATATTGCATCAAACTGCAGAACTTTCTACTAAGCTATACATATATATATATTGAGAATAATTTATGCTGTTATGTTGCATAATAATTCAGAATTCATTTTTAAATAATGTTGCCAGGTTGGTTTGAAAAATTTAAATGATCTTTAGTTCATCTGTGGTGTTTTGATTTCTGTTTGTACCCGACTCATTTTTTTCTTTTCTTTTTTGTAAATAGTTTAGAAATGGTTCAGAATAGAGGCATTCAAATATTCATTTATGCAAAGCGGGCTTGAAATAATAGTCTTGCATGTCAGTCTGGTTTTAGAGTGGTTTTGAATAGAGATAGACCAGCCTGTCCAGGCTTGGAGAACATCTTAAACCAGCTAAAACCTGCAAACCAGTTTTATAATGGTGTTTTCAACATGATTGAGCTTTAAGAGATCTTTAATTAAAACTAAACTGCAACTCGTTCAGAAATCTTTGAATGCCTGACATCAAAAAACTGACATTAACACATACCCACATTTACAGTACAGATATTTGTAGGTATTTCAACAACAGTTTGATGTTGTTATTAGTTCACCCAAAAAAATGAATCATGGGATAAACCATTTACTCACCCTCATGTTGTTCCAATCCTGTATGACTTACTTTCATCTGTGGAACATGCAAGAAGATATACAACGGAAGTCAGAAAACTGTTAGGTTACCAACATTTTTGAAAATATCTTTTGTGCTCTGTAGAAGAAACGACAGGAGGGTGAGTAAATGATGAGAGCATTGTTTGGATGAACTATCCCTTTAAATATATTTTGTGTTCTAAAACCAGTTAATGGGGTCATATAACACATTTCATTTTTTCTGAGGGTTAACCAATTTTTTGTGCTAAAAACTGTCAGTTTTGTTTTACATATCCATTTGCACGCTCTCTGACCCTTAACAAAGCTCCTCCAGTGAACTGAATTTATAGCAGTGGTTGTCAAGGGCGAGTGTATTAGGATAGAGAACATACAGTGAAACCATGTGTGGAATATAGACCATCTCCCAAGGGTCTCTTTACAGGACAATACTGTTTGACCAGGCTTTTGTGCGAGTGGCTTGGTCTATGAGCGCTCCTTCATCTGAACAACAGCCAACTTGGACTCACTGACAAATGATGTTCCTCGATGTGTATTCGCCCTTTATTTGTTTGACATAGCGGGCTCTAATGATCCAGTGAGTGCTCTGGAAGGAGGAGATAACATTTAAAATGTCACATCCTTGGCCCTGCTCTGTTTTCTACAAATTGGAGAGAAGGTCTTTCTCTCTGTGTGTTGAATGTCACCAGCTTTCTCTTCTAATTGAATGTGCAGCACACCTGCCGGTGTGGCCGTCTGGGTTAGTCCATTTCTTTAGCCAGCGTTTAATGCATAACATTCAATCCCATTTCACACGTTTATTAACTCCATCTGAAGTGTCCTTGTGTATTGTTGTGGTAACTAAGTGAAGAGACAGGTACAGGGAAAATAAGCAGAGACTAGCAGGATAAAACATATTTGAATAGACTTTAAGCACATTTTGTTTCTGACTTATAGATATTCAACTTTTTGGACTCTTTGTAAAATGTTTTATATAATGGAAAAGAGGTTGTATACACACAGATAAGCACACAAAAATATTACACAGCACACCTGTTTTCAACATTGGCAATAAAAAGGAAGTGTTTCTTGAGCACCAAATCAGCATATTAGAGTAATTTCAGAAGGAACATGTGACACTGAAAACTGGAGTAAAGGCTGCTGATGGCTTTGTCATCACAGGAATAAGTTACATTGCAAAATATATATTTTTATGTATTTATTTGTACATAAGTTGACTGAATGTTTTGTATTGATTGGTAGTGAAAAGATCTAAAGAATGATTTGTGTAAAGTTCCTGTGTGCATTCTTCAGCAATTCCTCATTCTGTCCACTTCCTAATAGTTTTCTCTTTCTTTAAAACAGGTAATCTGTGTTTTATGTACTTTATGCATGAATCTAATTAACATCTTTTATGACTGTCTAAATGCACTACTTGTTATTGCTTATGAGCTTTTGCTTCTATGTTACACAAATCTGTGTTGTTTATTAGCGTATAACTGGTTTGACCACCTGTTTTGAGAGTACACGGCCTAAAAATGTTGCTTTTCTACTCGTTTGAATTAGCATATCTTGTTTTGTTTCTCTGCAGTGGTAATGGAGAGGGCAGGAAGAGGTCTCTGTCAGGCTGTAGCACCGATTCTTTGACCTTGGTGCCTCCACGCAGAGTTTCTTGGCGCCAGAAGATTTTCCTAAGGGTGGCGTCACCCATGAACAAACCCTCTGCTTCTATGCAACACGTGGGTGGGTGTACATGCTTTAGCGCACACACAGACAGGTGCAACATTACACCCTGCTCTCCTAGCAGTCTATTTATAGTCAACGTTGCAGGAGAAATCATTGTTCTGCAAGCTTTAGAACTTCCAAGATAATTCTCCCTTTTACTGAGATTCAAGAAAAAAAAGAGTAACCATGGTATATATTAGGGCTGTCAAAACGATTCATCGCAATAAATCGCATCCAAAATAGAAGTTTGTTTACATAATATATGTGTGTTTATTGTTTATGTTTTTATGTATATATTTATGTTTTATATGTATATATAAATACACACACACATACATGTATATATTTAAGAAATATTTATATGTGTGTGTATATATATACATGTGTATATATATATATTCATATTTATATATGATTTATTATATAAATATAAATATACTTCTTAAATATATACATGTATGTGTATGTGTGTGTATATACATATAAATATACAATATATTATATATACTTCATAAATATATGCATGTATATGTGTGTATATACATATAAATATACACACACATATATTTTGTAAACAAACTTTTATTTTGGATGCGAATAATCGATTTGACAGCCCTATTATATATATATAAATATATATATATATAATATAAATAAGTATATGCTATAAGTTAGTCTGCTAAATAATTTATACCATTTTTATAGTTACTTAATAGTATATACAGCGTATTCTATTTTCCATTATATTTTATAATAATAATAATTATCAACAATAATAAATACTTATTATATAAAATAATATATATATATTTTTAATTTATGTAACATTGAATTACCTCATTCTATACTGTATATATTGTATCATGATATATGAATAGTAGTTTATTATGACACTCAGTACAATGGTATTGCCAACGATATCATAGTACCGTCATATATATATATATATATATATAATATAAATAAGTATATGCACGTTATAAGTTAGAATATTAATTTATACCATTTTTATAGTTACTTAATAGTATATACAGCGTATTCTATTTTCCATTATATTTTATAATAATAATAATTATCAACAATAATAAATACTTATTATATAAAATAATATATATATATTTTTAATTTATGTAACATTGAATTACCTCATTCTATACTGTATATATTGTATCATGATATATGAATAGTAGTTTATTATGACACTCAGTACAATGGTATTGCCAACGATATCATAGTACCGTCACAGTATTTTTTTGTCAGGGAAATCACTCTGTTTTTTTTTATTCCATGCCATTTGAGCAAAAGTCTTAGACTTTTTGGTCAGCATCTGCTGTTTTTCAGACCACATGGATGGCCGGGAGCTGCTGCCACTTTCTCCTCGGGCTCCTCAGGTCAGCCTCCTGTCCCCAGAGCAGGGCAGTCCAGCTGACTACAGGGCCCTGTGGAAGAAAGCCATCCACCAACAGATTTTGCTCATCCGCATGGAGAAAGAGAACCAGCGCCTGGAGGGTTAGTGTTTCTACCCCTCTCTTATAATTGAACATTCTAAATGTTCTACATTCTAAACCCCTATGAGTTTCCATTAAACATGAAAGGAAATGTATTGTTGATCTAGATTTTATATTATATAAATAAATAAACATGAATGGTGATATATAAATAATAACTATAATGTATATAAAAAAATAAATATCAATTGAATGGTGCAGTCATCAGGGGATGACTATTTTCACATTTTTCTGAAGGCATCCAGTAGGTTTGAAATCTACAGAGAAACAGATCAAAATATAACTCGTTACTCAATGATAATCTTACCATGTTGGTTTTGGTTACAAAACGCATGAAATCCAATGACATTTGGTGTCTTGGACATCAAACCTGCCAAAATGCGCCTTGACATGGCAATTTTGAGTATGTAAATAATAGTAAATCAACACTGGAGATTCTTTTAAAACATCTCTTATTGTGTTATACAAAAGGAAGTCAGTAATGTTTGTAATGACATAAGGGTGGGTAAATAATGACCAAAATTTCATTTTTTCATTTTTTTGTTAGGTGAACTAACCCTTTAAATTGTTACTGTAGCTCAAACATGGCACTAGCAATGCCAAGTTTAATGGGGTTGATTCCCAGGGAATGGATAAACTGTTAAAATAATCTTAATATATAAACAGTTTATAAAAAGATAACAAAATGAATCTTGAGAGCAATCTAATTCACTATATAAAAGTTTCAGTTGCATAAAAACCTACAGCAGTAGTTCAGCATTTATGGGACATTATGGAGTCACAGAAAAGGGAGTGTTTCCTCCCATCACTCTGTTTAGACTGTTGTTTTTCCCCTGGCCTTATTTTTAGAGGGGCAAGTGCCACTGCCTCTATTTTACATTCTGGGGCAAAGTTAATTATAGATGGGAATGTCTGGATGACGTTCACATTCTTTAAGAGTGCACTTGCAGTTCTGTGACCTCTAGGCTACATATTCAGCCTTAGTCTTTAAGAAATATTTTTTATTTTAATTAGTGTTTGAGTTTCTTTAACTCATTATGAAAGGTTAATATTGTCTATTAGTTCAACTTTGTTTTGGAATAGCAAAGCTTTGTGAAATATTTCCCTCTGTTGGCCAAACTGCATCACACATAACAGTCAAGTCACTTCCTCTACATTTTTTTCTTTTTGGTGTTTTCTGTCTTTTTTTTGTGTGTGCTGTTGGATGGGCCGAACTGAATAAACATGTTTGAGTAGAAGGTAAGAATATATACGGCCAAGACATTTGACGTCTCGCCTGAGCAGGCTGCACTTGAAGCAGTTGTTGGCATGATATCATTGTTTGGCTGCAATGTAGTATACAAACCAGCATGAGGCAGATAGCTACATGTTCTCAAGTGCAGATAGGATATAATTTCCTCCTGCCAAGTGCAATAGTTGTGGAGTTAAAGAGCGTCTTCTTGTTCATCTGCAAAGATGTTCATGTATGCTTTTACCTTGATAGTACAAATATGTTGTGATGCTTTGTTAAGGTTACTTTAAAAGGCCATGCCATTCTGAGCCTTGTCTAAAGTTGCTATGGAAACTTGTGGTGCATATAACCCAAAATATGAGCAGCATGCTACAGTTTATTCGCAGTGATGCATGTTTGCCTGTGAAGCTTCCATTGTACATGCATTGCTATAACCCACTTTTTATTTGTTTTTACAAACTGAAACCGTAATTTAATCAAATTAGTATATGCATGACAGTGATGAATGGTTTGTGGTTCTGATTTTGCTTGTGGACCCAGATTTTACACCGAACATTAAGTGGTAAACTGACACAATACGAAAACTGCAAATAAAGAATATGTTCTTTGAATAATGTGATGAATGTCTCATTTTATATGAATTATACATATGTTAAGAACATATTTTTATTAAGTTCTTAAAACAATCTGATGAATGGCATTTTATTATGAATCATATTGATATAAAATAGGAATTAAAAATTTGAATGCAATAGTTTTCCTCTTCTGTCCACATTTTTGGGTCACACCTCAACACTTGAGAACCACTAACAAAGAATCTATGGTAAGAGCAGGTGATGGACATGATGCATTTTCATTTTGACACCTAGAATGGTTTTAGATCCAAAGAAATAGGACATAATAACAATGCATTAAATGTCAGTTGTTCTATTAGTCTGAATAAATAAATTTTAAACCTCACTTTTTTTCCCTGCAGCCAGCCGTGATGAATTGCACATTCGTAAAATGAAGCTGGACTACCAGGAAGTGTGTCAGTGCTCAAAAGAGGTGCAGGCCCTTTGGGACAGGACGTTGAGTAGTCCCTGCCACACTAAAGTACAGTGGGACAAAGAAGAGATCCACAGTGCTGTATGCCAAGGTATGAACTGTTTAATCTGTTTACTTCCATCAATAAAACCATCATAGAGATACAATTTTTGTTTCTTACTATAATGTACACTAACATTCAAAAATTTGGGGTCAGTTAAGATTATGTTTTTGTTTTTTCAAAGAAGTCTCTTATGCTCACCAAATCAAACAATAATAATGGGAAATATTACTACAGTAGTTTACTATCAATATGTTTTAATAATTTATTCCTGTGACGGTAGCTGAATTTAACAGCCATTACTTCAGCCTTCAGTGTCACACAGTCTTTCAGAAATTATTTTTTCTATGCTGATTTGGTGCTCAAAATACATTTCCTATTATTAGTGTTGAAAATAGTTGCACTTTTTTCCCCAGGATAGTTGATGAATATACAGTTCAAAAGATTATTTATAATAGATTTTTTTTGGTTACATTTGAAATTGTAATTTAATTTGTACAGTAATAATGTAAAAATCGTTCAAAAAAATCGTAATTTCTAAAATTTCTTAAAAATCTCTTTGATCAAGTGAATGTGTCATTGCTAATAAACGTATTCACTTTTGACTAGTAGTGCATACATAGTTGTAGATGCTTACATTTACATGTGAAATTGTTTTGCTATTTTTAACAACCCATAGAGTTCCTCACTCTGTTTGTTTGTATGTGCGTTCTCTGTAGGTGTCCCCAAAAGTCGGCGAGGTGAAGTGTGGCTCCTGCTCTCTCAGCAGTATCGTTTGCGTCACCGTCTGCCACAGCGGCAGCAGCCTCCTGAAACCCCTTATCAGGATCTTCTCAAACAGCTCACAGCACAGCAACACGCCATCCTGGTCGACCTCGGTCTGTATCTAACCAAAGTACTTATTGTTTGTGCAGCTAATTCACATGCACATCAGAATACTGTTATATTTTTGACCCAGCACATTACTGAAGTGATGTTCCCATTCTTTCCAGGCCGGACATTCCCAACACACCAGTATTTCAGCACTCAGCTGGGAGCTGGACAGCTATCTCTGTACAATCTCCTGAAGGCCTACTCCCTGCTGGACATGGAGGTGGGCTACTGCCAGGGGATTAGTTTTGTGGCCGGTTTGCTGCTTCTGCACATGAGCGAGGAACAGGCTTTCGACACTCTCAAGTTCCTTATGTACGACCTGAGCATTCGCCGACAGTACCGTCCCGACATGATCTCTCTGCAGGTGCGCTGTGTGTGTAAGAGTATCAGTTTTCACTAGTTCATGTTTTTTCTTTCAGAACTGGTATGTTTGCTTATCTGATTATGCCTGTTGTTAAATGTAGCAGGACTGGTTTTGTGACAATTAACGGAATGAGCGAGTATGTTAGTTTGTTGAACTGAATGTTATGTGAATTACCTTTCTGTTGTATTAAAAACTATATTACTAAAGAGATTGAATAAATGAAAAGAATAGTACTTTTAACACGTTTGTTTAATATTATGTACATTTTAGTAAACATAGGGGCTTAAAAAGCTTTGATTGACATGTTTGGCCAGTTAAATACTACTCAATTTTTCTCACACGTCTTTTGTCGGACACTTTCATTTTTAATATAAATGAGCAATAAGCGAAACATAAATGTTTACATATTTAGTGGTGTTTTAGTCATCATAGTGTTTATAAAAGCTTGGATCGCTTGAAAAACTACTCACTTTCTTGGTAGCGCCTCTTTTATTGGACACTTTAATAAGTAGGCTAAATTAATATAAATATGGTGATGAATAGGGTATTGTTAAAGGTAGGGTATTGTTGCTAACTGAAATGTTTTTGCTTAATGCTACATCCACACCACTAGGTGTCAGTCTAACATTCAAAGTGACTGCTTTATTGGCTGGCGAAACATAAATCAAAATGTAAGAAATGTACTTTCTGTGACTGTAAATTTAACATCCTAATTTTGTTACAGGGACCAGAACAGGGAGTATTTTTAATACACTAGACTTAAACACACATTTGCTCAAGCGGTATGCAAACAGCCGTCTCCACCTCTTGTACACTGTTTCCTCCTCAGCTGTTAGTGGTTATTCATCATCAGATGTGCCAATGTTTAATCCCGTGGGAGAGAGCCCGTCTCAGCCAGTCGCATTTGAGCCTGTTTAAAGTTCACTCCTCTAAGTGTGAGGACTTTTTCTTCTTTCTCTCTCTCTGTAGATCCAGATGTACCAGCTGTCGCGACTGTTGCACGACTATCACCGTAACCTGTACACTCACCTGGAGGAGCACGAGATCTGTCCCAGCCTGTACGCCGCACCCTGGTTTCTCACTCTCTTCGCCTCTCAGTTCCCACTCGGTTTTGTTGCCCGTATATTTGGTAAAGTTCACTTTCTACCTAACTAACTTACTCAGACCTAGATGAATGTATGTGATGGGGTTCGGGTGAACCTTAGGATAGTGGTGAAATGATCTTGTGTGTATTTGACACATAAGTCAAGTATTGTAGCCAATGCATAGCCTTTGACTCTTGTGCATGTGTGTGTGCTGTGTGGCAGACCTCCTGTTTGTCCAAGGCACGGAGGTGATTTTTAAGGTGGCCCTGTGTTTGCTGAGCAGCCACGGGGGAGAGATACTGGAGTGTGACGGCTTTGAAAGTATTGTGGACTACCTTAAATCCACCATCCCCACCCTCACTCATAGCCAAATGGAAGAGACGATCACTAAGGTACATTTAAAATGGAAAACTTTCCTGCTACATGTCTGGGGGTTTTGTGTTAAATTATTTATTTCATCCCCAAAAAAAGAGACACTTTAAACACTCATGTTACTCTGGCAGTTGGCACATAACTGTGGACATTTTTTGAATATCAAGATTTTCATATGAAATGTGATGTATTTAATATGGTCTACAGTGTGACAAAATATATATTTTTAAATATTCATACAATGAATGTAAGTATATAAATAATATCAGCCATAGTGTTATTTTAGCATAATTTATATAATATTACAGTATTTAATATTTTAGCCTTTATATTTATATTTTCAGTTTTTTTTTAGCAATTTTAGTTTGTTAGTTAGTTTCAGTAATTTTAATAAAGTAATATTTTAGTAATGTATGTTTTAATATTTTTTCTTAGTTCATTTTTAGTTCTTCAGCTTAAACTTATTTACATTTACATATAAACATTTAAAATTTTCTGTTACCTTTTTTTAAGTTTCAGTTAAGTTGTATCTAGTATTTATATTGTATTTCCTTCAGCTTTATTTCAGTTACTTTAAAGTTTAAACAATTTTCAAGTTTTATTTTTACAGTGATCAGCCATGATTTTTAACATCTCTTCCTTAAATGTAAAATATTTTTTCTTTTTGAGATGCAAACTGGATACTATTCTGTAAAGTAAGCATATGGCAAAAAGAGATCATGTTACAACTGTTTGAAACCTTTTTTTTTTATGCATACTGAATATGGTTTCACATGCATTTTTGATTGTAGGCACCACAGTGTTGTATATGTAGTATGCACTACACTAGAATGCACTCTATTTAACCACTAGGTGGTGCAACTTGCTTTTCAAAAATCAACAGACTGTTTTCTTGAAAAGAAAATTAATTGACGAATTTTTATTTGACAGTTTTTGTTTATATTTGGATATACTTCATGTAAAGGTATGTGTGTGAGTCTCAGATAGCATTTAACTTTAATGAACCTGTGCCATATTCTCTGAAAATAACTATCAGTATGAAATGTGGTTTGCAGGCAATCGAGATGGACATCTCCAAGCAGCTGCATGCGTATGAAGTGGAGTACCACGTCCTGCAGGATGAGCTGTCTGACGCTCCTCCACCATCAGAGGACTCCGATAGACTAGATAAACTGGAGAAAGCTAATGCCCAGCTCAAGAAACAGAACATGGACTTACTAGAGAAACTGCAGGTAGATGTATAACAATATCACAGCATAACACAAGTAGTGGTTTGAAAAGCAGGCAAGTGTTTTGTTCCTTTATTGCCAGTGTTTGGCAGCACAGAGCAAAAGACAAACAGCTTGAAACCTAAGATCTTTACAGATGCAACTCTGTTTACTACCAAAGAATATTAAAATGGAATTTTGGTGTAAAAATAATGGACATTCAACTGATTTATCATTGATTTATCATCCACAAGTTTTAATGAATGTGGGAGAATGAATTATCCTTGAAACTCCATTAGTGTAAACATGTAACGTCACAACTTGCTCATCTCCAAGTTGTTCCTAAAAACAACCTGTTGCTTAAAATAAGCAAAACTAACAATTACTAATAGTATTAGTTGAGCCATTGGATCTGACTCACTTTACCCAACTTTACCACACAAGTTCCCATTTTTGGAAATGCCTTATTTATTTATATATTTGTTATTTTTGCCAGAATTTTTCATTGTTCTATTCCCAGGGATTTTTCAGCACACATAAAAAAAAAATGCATCTGCTAAAGTGTAATTTATCATGCTTTTTGTTTACCACTAGCGCATGCTGATGACGTTTTAGTAACGAGTCAATAGATGTCATCATCGTACAGTCTACACACACGTCGTAGCCAAGTTTATTAGATCCATGTCGCACAGTGTGACATGCA